CCTAGCAACCCCAGTACCCCACATTTAGACCGTCTTCTTACCCGGATTCTTTACCGGTCCCTCCCTTACTTCCAGCCAGCAACCCGGAAGGGTTGGTTTGCCCAGGCTTTAGGTGCCTGAAGGACGCCCTCCCCTTGGTCCATACTTTCAGAGCGTATATCCTTTTCCTCTGGTGCGACAACTCGGCGGTTCGGCTGGTGTGTCCTCCACCATTAGGACCTGGTCGCTCGGTTCTCTGATCTCGGGCCCTGGTTCGAATTCAGCCCTCCTGTGGTACTGTCGTAGATCACTACTACCTCCAAACTCGGAACTTGCCAAATGGGTTTTCGGTTATTCCAGTTCCTCAGATTTATTGCGCCAAAGCTCCTATAACTAGATGGTATGACCGAGATTACAGATTTCTAGATTCAACCGATAATCGACAACCATAAACCGTAACACAGGCTATTTTTCAAAATTTGTCGTCCATGGGATTTGAACTCTAGATCTGCCACTTGGAGAGGATGATGACTAGACCACTACACTAAGTCGCCACACCTAAGATAACTAATTATTTAAATTTTTGTGATCTATTAAAAACATAATAATATAATTACATCATAATAACCTAATTCACATTGCTATATTGCCTTTAAATACTTATTTTACAGAAATTAATATCTTTATACTAAACAAATTTTCACTAGCATATTGCAAATTTGTAGATTTACTAAGCAATCTTAAAAGCTTGTTTATTAATACGAAGCGGCGCTCTAGAGCCCAACAGATCTCATTTTCCTAGTTTATAATAATTTTAATTGTAATCCATTATTTTTTCGTAACCTTATGACTATCAACTCTGAAAATACTAGTTTTTGGTCGCTCTTAAGCGTCAATCTCAATGTGATTAGCAAGTGATCATAATAGTGCTAAAATATAATTATATTTACAAAAAAGTTTTGCTGAAAATTTGAATATGCAATTTATGATGTTCACAAGCATCAATTTCAATATGATTAATAAGTAATTGTACTAGGCTCATTTATTACAATCAATCAAAATAATCATTGAAGTCAATATTTGAGCAATCCCAAATTGATTTCTATTATTTGTCAAATGTTATCATCAAAAATTAAAACAAAAAACAAAAAAAAATTAAAAAATTAAAAATTAAAAACAAAAGCGTTTATAAAATTCTAATGAAGCATCAACTTTTGATAATTTCTAGTACGCCATTTGCTGATTTCACCAACTATAATGACAAAATAGTTGTATTTGTTGCCATTTGAGAGAAAGCCAAGTATTTGATATTGTTTCTTGGGCTTCTTAGTTTTTTTTTATTTTCATAAAATTTTTAATGCGAGAAGTAAAATAATAATTTATTACTGTCGAAAATAATGGACCATAGCAAAGCTGCTTGAGTAATTTCTTTGAATACTCTATTAATCGTAAAATTTTCAAAGGCAGGTATAAAAAAAAAGGAGGTCTGATGTAAAAAGTTTGTTGATTAAAATAAAAAATTCATTTAATGTTTTTTACTAACGCTAATAATAAACACGCTTAATTAATTTTAAATATTTTCTGCTAAGTAAAATTTATTCCCAGACACTTTTTGACTCATTGATTGAGGTGCTTCAATATATAGATTATGAAAAACCAATTAGAAGTGTGCTAGTGAATAAATATGGTACATCTTATTTTTCAAAAAATTTTATACTAAAAAAAATAAAAATAAAAATAAAAGTAAAATAAAAATAATTTAAACAAAATAAATAAATATATTAGCAATATAATTAGAATATTGCATTTATTCGGTTGATTGATATATGTTAAATATCAATTAAATATCATTGTTGAAAACAGAAACTTAGCTGTTATTAAAACTTTCAATTCTTTACATTATCTATAGTCATTAAAATAAATAATTTAGTCATTCTTACCAACTCATATTTAGTTTGACAAGGAGTAAAATTTTTAAAAGTGTCTGACAAGCAATGTAACTCATATGTGTAAATTTATTTGAACATTTAGTGATAAACTTGAATACTTAGGACATTTTATTATCAAATTTCCATTTATTAATTCAATATACATTGTATGTTGACTAGATGGCTGTTTAAACGTTCTAGAGAATCAATCTGAGATCATTAGAACTTGATGCAGTGATTTAATAATGCTAAAGGAATTTTCATTTATTGGTATATTATCTGGGGGCTGAATTATAAGAACAAAAAAAAAAAATCAATATGGTGAAAATAATGAATAACAAAGTTGTGTCACATTAAGCCATGGACTATAATGGGTTCTGAATAAATTGTCAATAGATATTGTTTATTGGCATTTGCTAAGCTATATTTTGGTCCATAGCTTTAAGATATTTGTCTTCAAGAGTTTAAATTTGATTATAGCAGCCCTCTCTAAGTGCATATTTACTTAAATCTTTATTGGTGTAGGTGATTTGATTAGCAAAATAAAGGATTACTCTATAAAAATTTTTCAAAAAATGTATTCTAACTTTCTCCAGACCAATCTTGTTATCATTTGGAAAATGCTCATTTTTCGAAGCAAAACATATATACACTGACTCCCATAATTATTGTTCCACTGTGTTTAAAATTTTTAGAGCGTGATATTTCGCGTTCGGTAAAACAAATAATTAATAAATTTCAATGATGCAAAGCTCTTAATTTCCTTTATTTAATATTATAATTTCACAAAAAAATTTTTATTATTTTTTTGAAAAAAATTTAAATTTCCACAATCTTTGTGGAACAATATTTTTGGCGTAAAACCAAAAAAATTTTTACATATATTTTTTTTAAATTTATTTTAATAAATTAATTTTTTTTTTTCTAAAATTTACTATTCTGTATACCCTTTAGCTTTAAGCACATCTCTAATTCGTTGTGGCATTGTGTCAATTAGCTTTAAAACGTAATCATCATTGATCTCATTCTACACCTTTTGTATCTTATTCCACAGATCCGTTTCGCTAGAAACATTACCAGGAAGTTGCCGCAAATGACAATTAACTTCATCCCATAAATGCTCTATGGGATTTAGATCGGAGAGTATGGCGGCCAAGTTAAAACATCGATTTCTTTTTCATCCAACCAGTTGGTAACTATATCTGACATATATTTCGGATCATTATCATGTTGGAAAACAAAGTCAACGTTTGTCAAATGCCATGCCTGCATTGTTCCAATTAACTCATCTTTAAGAATTTCATGATATAGCTCCTTGTTTATATTTCCTTCGATCCTACAATAGTTTTCAACACTGTATACACCTATACAGCCCCATACTATTATGGACCTGCCACTATATTTCACCATTAGCTTTACATATTGTGGTAACAATGGCAAATTCGAGTCTTTCCAACACCACTCTCTTTCATCCGAACTGAAAACCTTGAACTTTGATTCGTTTAAAAAAATGACTCTTCGCCAATCTTCAATAGTCCAATTACAATATTTTCTTGCGAAGTTTCTTCGTGATTTTTTGGTCTGTGGTAGAAGTAGAGGTTTTTTTCTTTACCTAAGATTCAAGACCTTGTCTCCATAGTGCACAGCAAATTGTATTCATGGAAACATGAACACCTTCATTAGATGTTAGTTTTTTTGGGCTTTGATGGCAGTTGGGCATGTACTCGATCTAAATTTCAATGCTATTCTTCTTTTGTGGCAGGCAGTAAGTATTTTGGGGTGGCCTGGCCTTGGTAAAACATCTAAGCAACCAGTTTGCTTCTTTAAATTTTTTATTCTTAAGACCGTACTATAGCTTACTTTCTCATGAAAAGCAATAGTACGGCTGGAGTAACCTTCTTCAAGAAGGGTGGAAATACGGTTTCTTTTTGAAATTGGAATCGCTTTCATTGTTATATTTTTCTTTTGCATACTTACCATTATTAATCGGGCAAGTATTTATACATTTTTGGCATCAATGTATCATAATGCATATTTTATTTTACTTACATAAATATGCCATAATTATTGCACTATATGAAAAGTGCATAATCGGAGGTTTTTTAAAAAACCACAAAATAGGTGTTAACCAAATTTGTTCAGATTAAAATCTAAAACGTAGGGTTTACATCACCTAAATTTGCCAGTCATATGATTTCTAAAACGTTAAATATTGTGATTTAAAATAAAAAAAAAGAAATGGAACAATAATTATGAGAGTCAGTGTAAATTCCTGGTCATTTCCACAGATTTATGATTAATTTTGGATAAAAATCAAATCCGGATAAGATTCAGCTTCTAATTATAATGAAGTACAAAAGATTAGGAGCCAAATTTTACCCAGATTTGATTTCTGCCAGAAAATTAACAGGATTATATAGAAACGACCAGGAATTTGTATTGTATTAAGTTGCTTTATCTTATCGAGTTTCTATTATCTTATCAAGGCATTCCGTATATAAAATTTCTACTAAATAATGCCCCTGCGCGTTATTTCACGAAAATACAGTACAAGCGCATCACATCTGACAGCGTGCACTTAGAAGGATTCATTATATATAAAGATTAATATGAACCAATGTATACTAATACCTACGGGCTGTAATTTAAGAAAGATGTATTTAATTAAAAGAAGAGTCACAATAAATCATTTATTTAAAAAAATTACGCCAACTTGTCAGTTGCATTTCTATATTCAGCGCAACAATCATCACATTCATCTAAAATATTATCATCTTTAGAATATTCAAGTGGTTGCTGGTCGGTCTTATTTGTAATAAATTCAACAGTTTCTTCAGTTAATAACCTTTCGAGTTTCTTTAAAACACCATTCAATGTTGGATACTTGTTCGGATCAGAAAATCGGCATTTTTATAGAGATTAGCTAATTTGAAAGTGTATTAACAACAGTATTTTCTCTTTTCTTTTGTGAAATTAATATTATAATTTATGGATCAAGTAAATTATAAAATGGTCGAACTCCACTTGTGTGCTCCGAAACAAATGCCCAAGCTATAAATGTCTGATTTTTTATTATGTTGGAGGAAGCATTGTGGTTCAATATACACTGCTACATCTCTCATATTTGAACTTGAAGTTGTAGTATCCTTTATTTGTTTTGATATTCCGAAATCTGTAATCAAAGCTCTATCATCTTCATTCATCAAAATATTTTTTGTGTGCTAAAGAAATTTTAAATAATATTTCATTAATTTAAATTTAGGCACAATGAATAATGGGTTTGTTATGTAAATGCATGAAGACTATTTATTTGCTTATTTGTAGTATTCCCATAAGTTTCCTTTAGCAAGTTGCAGTACTAATGTAAAGTAACCTCCTGTTGCTTTTTAAAATTTTTATGGGATTAGAGTTTATCGGGAGAATTAAATAAGTGCAATCTGAAAAACCTGCGAAAATGCAGATTTTTGCAGAATTTTTTTGCAAAAAAACTGCAAAATTTCCTATATTTTGAAATTTTGCGCAGAACT